TTTGTGTGTGGTTGGGGTCATTTAAACTTGATTCGTGGCAAATATTGGGAAATTCTATAAATCAGACTTCTGTGACAAGATTCTGACATGATAAGCTTGCCATAATTTTTATATTGTGAATTGTCGAAAAGCAAATACCATGAACATGTGTTTGATATAATATTTCCAGTTGTATAAATTTGTTATGTACCAAGGTTCTTATATTATTCTTGTCGATAATACCATGTTAACATTTTGTTTAACTTCCCTATCAAAAACATTTTGTTTAACTTCAGACTATGAGACTTTGAGAGCATTGGATTCTGATAATGTTCCAACAACACCTTCTATGAGTGAGGAACAAATAAACGCTCTTCCTGTTCATAAATACAAGGTTTCTGGTCCTCAAAGGTAATCAATCCTGTATTCTACATCCCATAATTATAGGATAACTGTAGCTTTATTTTTAAAATTTTTGCTTGCAATCCACATTTTCTCCGCTGAAAGATTTTTTTCCAATGATGAAATCCGTACTCTTCAGCTTATCAAAAACCTAGCTTAGGTTCTTTAATTGTATGCAGCGACTCCGCTATGAATCAACAAGCTTCATCTTCTGAATCTAATGAGGTGAGGCATCAGACTCTTTTTCTTCCCTGCTTGTTTGATACTCTTTAAGTCTTATGTTGACCTGAATGGTGTGTATAAAGACAATAATTACTCCTTTTAGAAGAAAATGTAATGTAGCATTTTCTGGCTTCTTATATGTGTGACACCCTACTCATTAATTATCAATTTTGAAGTAAATGTTCTAAAATGTGATTGCAGAAGAGGCAAGATTCTGTTAGTGCAGTTGGCGGTACTAAGACCTTAGAGGATGAACTGACTTGCAGTGTTTGCTTGGAGCAAGTAAATGTTGGTGAGCTCATACGTAGTTTGCCATGCTTGCATCAGGTTTATCTCTATCTCTTTGCCAAGTTGCCGATATTTCATCAAAAAATTCACGTTGGTTTGTTTCAATTTTCTTATAAATGACTTCCGTCTTGTAGTTCCATACAAACTGCATCGATCCATGGCTGCGACAGCAGGGAACATGCCCTGTTTGTAAATTCAGAGCGGTGACCGGGTGGTCAGAACACGGGCATGGGGAAACCGATGCTTATATGGTTTAATTGGATGCAGAGCAAGTAATCAAACAATGCTTGATGCCTGATTAAAGAGCAGAGGATATGGACAGACGTGGTGTAATTATGTTGAGAGTAGGAATTGAAGCTCCGCTGTGATGTATCTTTGAACTTCTGACGACCCATTTGATTGTATTCTTGAAGTTAATCGTCTTTTGTGATACAGAGTCTCTGACCTGTGTTAGTGAGCAGAATTTTGTTCTTTCACTGTCGTCCATGTACTATTCCAATCCTTACTAAAGCATTGAATTTGGTTGTCTCTAGAACTCTCTTTCGTGATTCTGAAACTCATACCTGATGCATTTTGACGCACTGTTTAAAAGTAAAGTTCTCTGGTATATCTAAATCTTCATTCACACATTTATAATAATAAGCATTCGGCGTCATCTTCTCACGAGTAAATATGCAGATGCAAAACATATAAATGTGTCATCATCAGCCAAGTATGGGCTAATTATGCTAAGTTAATATTCAGCGTACAATCAGAATACTGAGCACTCAATTACTGTACCATGCCATTCGCTGCAGCAAATGCAAATGTATTACAAACATAGGCTTCAAAGTTTCGTTTCATTTTATTCTGTTCTTTGTGTTGTAACAACGATATGGTTTATGAGCGACTAGGGATATATCGACATTATTTGGCTTTGTTCTTCCCCTTTCCCTGGCCCTTCTTAGACTCTAGCTTGGCTTGAATTCGGGCAGCTGCAGCTGCTTTCGCCTCATCTCTCTTTCTTTTCTCTTCCTCTTTTACGGCAGCAGCAGCCTCCCTTTGTCTTTTCAATTCTCTGATGCACCAATGTTGATGTAAGAAAGAGATCATTATCATTAACAATGTTTGAGAAAAGTGGATCGTTGAAGTAGTAGATTACTTACTCGAGCCTGGCCCTTTCCTCAGAAACACTGCCCAGACTCGAGCCTTTCCGGGGCTTGCAGGCCACTAATTCCACCTCGAAAACAAGCGTTGCACTGCATAAAATAGAGGAGCACGTACGAGACAATAAACAGCCATTTTAATTGAGGAATTCATTGCAATTGTAGTGGCCAGCATACTTCATGAGCAAATTTTCCAGCAAAATAGCCACCTTGATACTTAAAAAGTGGAAGAAGAAAGAGAAAGGACATTACTCTGGTGGGATATCTGGTGGAGAACCAGCACTTCCATAAGCATATTCTGGTTTGCAAGTGATTTTTGCAACCTCTCCCACCTGTTGGAACAATACAGAACATCACTCAAAAAGAAAAATGCACCAGATATTCCTGATGGAAAGCATGTTTTTTCTTTACCTTCATCGTCTTCACAGCAATTTCCCAAGCCTGGATAACGGATCCTTTTCCAAGCTCAAAAGAGAAGACAGTATTATCCTCAAGAGTTGAATCAAATACTTCCCCAGATTCCGCTAGAGTTCCTTCATAATGTACTGCTCAACCGCCAACATATGGCAAGAATTAACGAAACTTTTGAATAAGCAAGCTTTAAAATTTTATCAACAAGGAAGGTTCTAATACAAATACAAGTTTGAAGAGGCCAGAATGCGGTGCAGGGAAGATCTATTAAATGACGGGGAACCGGGTTAATCAATTGTATATTCTAACTCATGGGAACTTCAATCATCAAAAAGCAGTATTCTGAATGAAATTATAATTAAACAGTCAGGTCATCAGACATAGACAGTAGGAATTCATAAAGGTGGGTACACATTCCTTTAGATCAATAGCACATCCGTATCTGCCACAAATTAAGTTAATAACAAAAGGGAAGCTTCTATCTATCCACTGACTACTCAATAAGCAGCCAAAAACACTAACAAACTGAAGCTCGAAGGTACCTTGTCCAAATCTTCCTCTTGAATTTTACTCATATACTATTAGTCTCAGTACTAAGTAATGCATTGTCAGTGAGAAAAGAAACCATAGTTTTGCTAAGAAAAAGTACCATCAACAAGAGGAAGGTCATCTGTTGGAGCATCAGCATTGGCTTTGGCATGCCTTACAATTGTCTTCACAACACCTCCATTCCCCGTCAAATCTACTGTATCGCCCATCGCTCACCAATTCTGAATGTACTGTATCAAACAAATTACCAGAGATTCGTCAGAACTAGGTAAATATTCAAGCAAGACACCATTTGTCTATGACATTTCTAGTTGTCAGCCAAAATATAATCAAGTAAAGCAACCAAGCCATAGTCGTACAACGCTAATTTCTAGAACTCTCATCTGTTAAAATAGTACTGCAAAATGGGCACCAACTAAATGGGAATAAAATCCCCAATGCAGTTGAAAGATTATTGAGACACAAATAGAAAGAAAGAAATATAGGGAGAGAGAGAGAAATAGAAGTCAAATATGTTTCTCCCAATTCCTACACCAAATACCAAGAACAGCCAAAAAGAAAAAGAAAGAAACCAAATGTGCCAGAAGGTGTACATAAAACACACGCAAAACGAACAAGTATATATAAGACATCAAAAGAAGGGGAACAAACTGGGAATTTGATAATATATGCAAGCAGAAAAGTCTATGCAAAACCAACATAAATGAACTATTCTTCGTGAGTGGATGGGATAGTACTGCAGAGAAAGATGCAAAACCAAGAAAAGAATCAAGTTCCGGCAATCTAAAGAATTTTGGGTTTTCCCCTTTAGCAAACTTCAAAGTTCCACACTTCACTCCGTCCATTCATGCCAATTCATATCGATTCTTTTACCCTTTGGGAAGCAAAATTAACTGACATGAAATTTTGCAATCAAGAAGTGATACATCCTGAAATCTAGATTGAAAAGACAGAATTTACGAACCCTACGGGAAAATTTGAAAGTCGGGCCGATTCTTGTATGTTTAATCGGGTCGGATCGTCGCGTCTGCAGGTGGCCATAAGCGGCGCGGCGGAAGTAGCGCTCGTTTTGGAAGAAGTGCGCTGGTTTAACACCAGTGCCCGTGTAACCTATGCTTCAATACGACGCAGTTTTGGGTACGCAAACAAAATTAGTAATAAATTATCTTTTAGGACTAAAAAAACAAACAATTTGATCGTATTTTTCTTTTTTCTTTTTATTTTCCAATAGAAAGCAATTTTTATTTTATTATTCAAGTTAGTTAGCGACCTTTAGGCCTTTATGTTTTTATACCTAGGGATATGTGTATTCTGTATTGTCTTCGTACTCATACATACTACTCGAACTTAAAATTTTGAAATTCAAAATTATCCAAACTATCCCTTATAAACCAATTTGATCGGTAAATTTTCAAAATATATCTATAGCTGAGTGGAGATTTCAAATGTGTTAATATGTGTCCACCTTACTATACTAATACATATTATAAATTGATGTTTTCATTTTGGGAAAGAAAAAACAATCGTAAAATTCAAAAAAGCCAATCAATATGAGTTAACCACGTCTTGTAAATAAAATAATAATAAAAGAAATTGATCAGAGGTGGGACCCATCCATCCCCAAAAAGGGACAACATTTGAACGGCACGATTCAATTTTTTTAAACACGACAGCCTCTGATAACGAATTGCACGATGTTACACGTAACGTATTCCATGACCTACACGCGCCTCCACCGGAACTTTCACCACGGCCCAATCTAGTTTTGCCACGTAATTCCATTGTCAATCGAATTAACCTCCGTTTACTCCCTCTATATTTCTTTTTAAATGCTGACGTGGGTGACAAATACTACTAGAGTAGAGATTTTCATTGATTTTCAACTGTTTTTTATTATTGGTAAAATTGATTACGCATTAGTTTAAATTGGATCAAATATTCAGTCGTTATGATTTGCAAATTTCGATTCACAATACTTTTTTAAATTGGATTCCTCAAAATGTTAACATATTTGCGTAAAAATCTCCATTCCAACAAATATTTTCAATTTGAGTGGTTTTTTTTTTTTAAGTACAAATAGCTATATGTAATCTTTATCATTTTTTCAATTACTATTATCATTATTAAATTATTGTTTCTATTGTTTGGTTTAATTCAAACATAATTTGTTTCTCTTCCTTTTTTTTATTTATTTTTCTTATCTCTCAACACGAAATATATATGTTAATATTATACCTTTTGAATATTTTATGATTTAGCGTATATCGTTTAAGGAAAATAAATTTAGCCTTTACCTTTTAACATTTTCAATTATACTAATTTTCTTCATAAACGTTGTAATTGACTCACGATAAGTTATGACATTCAATCTAAATGCACGTTTCCAAAAAATTATGATGAAAAAAAAGATTGTAATTTATCTTATAAATTTTGTCGACTTACAAAATATCATATCATGTAAATTTATTATCAACCATATAAAATATAATAATTGAAGACACTAAATTAAAAAAATAATAATAATGAACAATGAGATTAAGTTAGAGAGAGAAAATTAAATCTAGGCTACTTTGCAAAAGTAAAAAGATAAAACAAAATTGTAAAACAAATAAAAAAAAGTAGAATTTGAAAATTGTATTTTGTTTCTGATGAGGTGGCGAAAAATGGGTGGAGAAGCAGTATATTTTTATATTTATTTATTTAGAGAAAAGGAAAAGCAGTGGTTTAAAGGAAGAAGATGAAGCAGTGGAATGTTCCTTTAATTTCTCCACCTCCTATAAGCCATCAAAAGCGGCTGCCCACTCTCTCTAACCATTCACCATTAACGGACTCCCTCTTCTTCTTCCTCTCTCCCATCTCTCCCATCTCTCCCACTTTCCTTCCTTCGGAACGCAGAGTTCCGAGTGGGCAAATGCAGAAGAACAACCCCCAATCGCATGGATGAACCCCCCTTCTC